ATTCATAGTCAGCTGTTGAAGCGACGCCAACGCCAACGCAACGCCAAAGTTCTATGTGGACGGGCCTTAACTGTCCCCACTCCGCTGTGTCGTGGCTCTTATATACCTGCGCTCACACTTATGGCAACTCTAGAACGTTCTGAAGTTTATCGCTCATTCTCTTTCTCTCGCTGTTCGCAGTGTTCATCCAACTTGACGTTTCTCTTTGTGGAACATTCTACGTCATTCCTCGAACATTCTGCCTATTTCTCGTTGTTCGCCATGATTCAATAATACAAGGTTAGATAATTATTGACAGCTACGGTTTGACACTCCCTTACAAAAGGTTGCATTTACGAAGGACGGATAAAAGGGGAGGAATGAAATCTCTTGGTGCGAAAATGGTAGTAGAAAAGTACGCAAAGTAGGCAATTAGTAGTGAAATTCCTTTTGTAAATTCTAATGTTTTTGCAGGAAATCTGGCATTTTAAACGAAATTTTGAACGTAATATTGATGTATCTATGTAAATTACGTAATTTATGTGCTATTTAGCTGTATAAAAAATGCAAAATGACTCAAAATTAAAATAAGACTACTATGAGATTGATGTAAACATCCCATTTAAAAACAGTTTATGTTTTCATCAGTTAAATATGCTTCATATGCATATACAAATAAACATATTGCACAAACGCTCATACTTCTATATCACACCAAAGCTACACTGTTTCCATGTAAATGTGCAAAGAAGCAACACGGTGCCACTGCTAAGGGAGCGGTGCGAGAGAGACAACTGTCAGTTTATCGAACCTTGTATTATTGAATCATGGTTGTTCGCTTTGTGTTGCCGCAGTATTCGCCACAATATGAAAAAAAAACGAAGTAGTGCATACATGCACAGTTTCGGTTTAAAACCGAAATAATGCATATGGCAAAAAACGAAATAAATCATACATGCAGTTTCGGTTGAAACCGAAATAATGTCTAAATGCACAGTTTCCATATGCGCAATTTCGGTGCCCCAATCAAACATCGTAGTTGACCAAAAAATAATATTAGACTTCATTCTCTCAAGATAGGATATGTTAAAACAGCCTCCAAAAGATTTACTAAAGACGACCCTGGACTACACAAATCAAGGCTCTGTTATGCATACTTGGCATTGCATGCACTGCTATACCATTTTTACGTAGAAATCAAAAACCAACAGACTTTTACGTATGTAATGCTGTGCGTTGGGTAACAGCTTACACGCGAAGCTCGTTTAACAGATTCCTTATGTGACAACTCTCAAGCAATGCCAAGTATGCATAACAGAGCCTTCAGTTTTATTGAAAATTTGTTTTTATCTATTTATTTTATCCTTCAATTTTGGGTGTGTCAAAATTTTATGTGAAAACAATATGTATTTCTAGAAAAATTTTACGGCCCATGAGTTCCAAAGTAAATTCCATTGCTGTTAAATGGACAAAGACAATATAATATGTATTAAATAACATATCGAAATGTGTAATTTCAGTAATTTGTGTAAATGTGTAATTTCAGAATTACATCAGAATCACGTATCCGATATAGAAAACTACATTGTGAATTAATGAGATGACATGAGGACACTAACATAATTTTAAAATATGTTCACTAAAATTGTATTAATATTAAAATAATGATTTGGCAAGTTGTTATCGAATTTAATGTAAAATTTAAACGTTCTCAAAATAAGATATTGATTAGTTTTAAAAGGTATATATATATTAATACAACTATTTACTTTATAATCCCAAATTTAGAATATAAAATGTCCCACACCAAAAAACTTACAATTGGGTAATGCCGCTTCGAATTTTTCACAAATGAGCAATTGTCAAAAATCTGCTTTTTAATCAAAAAGTTGTTTATTGAAACTACCTTCTTTTTTGTATCATGGCTCCACGTTAACAAATGTCATTTGGGGTGTTCACAGTTCGTTCCAAATTGTGTCTGAAAATGTAGACGTCTACATTTTGAGACATCTTTAGCATCAAACTTTCTAGCAGTCGTCGCAAAATCGTCTCAAAACTTTGCTGGTGTTGCCAGACATTTCTTCTTTGCGTGCTTTTTTATATGTCGCCTTTCGATTTTGTTTCTGAAAAATTGTAATTATTTAACTTAATTACCAATTCCTAATATTTGTTATTTCTTTTCCTTGATTTGTTTCTTTTCATCAGAAATTGCGCTCAAATTAAATGCAAATGTAGACGCGTAAAAAACATACCTTTGAGTGTGACAAAACGTAGACGGCGTCTTTTTTTCAATTTTGTATGGGAAACAACAACACCACAGATTTTACGGTTAGAAAACGTCTTAAAATGTAGACGTCTACATTTTGAGACACTATTTGGAACGAACTGTGAACACCCCAATTAAAATTATTCAGGCGACATTCTGAGTAGTGATGTGCTAAATTCTCGGTACCCAATACTTGAAAAAAATTTCGGTACCCAATACTTCCTTTTCGGTACCCGATACCGATTCGACACACTAAACTTTCGTCATTATATCTGTGCCGTTCAATTCAAGTAGCTTAAGTCACTTTAGATGGTTTGACTTTGAATTAAAAAAAAAAAACAGTTTCCTTTGAAATTGTTTTATATTTTAATTAAGATTCTATTATAGGGGCATCTTGAACTACATCTTTGGCTAGTTAAACGTTAAAATATTGTTTGGGAATCAAATGAAATGTGGCTTTTAAGGGAAAAGGACCTATCTCGAGATAGGCTACTTTTAGGGGTAAAAATTATTAATATTTTATAAGACATCGCCTAAAATGTACAAATAAGATGGTCCTTTCTCAAGAGATGAGCAATGTGTTTGTATGTATGTAGTTAAGTGAAGCAAGTATAATGTGTGCGTCGAACAAGGCAGGCAATTAAATCTGCACAATAATGATCAAGGCCAATTTAATAAGGTGGTGTTAGCCGTGTATAAGTAAAAAATTAAACTTACAAATTATACGCAGATATTCATACTGTCATTAGTATGAACTACAACAAACACGTAATTTTGATGTAATGTCCTCCACGGCCAAAAATTCAGATACGCCGGTAACACCACCTTATTAAATTCGCCCTTCTTCGTTTCTTTATACATTCCGGATAATCCCATTTCACAGCCGGAATAAACAGAATGCGTTTGAAATATACGTCAACATATCATCAGGAACGTTCTAAAGAATAAATAAACAAAAAAGTTTATTCCAAACATTCAGAATGAATAAAGAAATGCAGCCTATATGTATGTATACATATAACTCATATTTTTGGCTGTTGCGCGCTTTTATTAGAAATTCCAAGATTTCGGTACCGAGCATACTTTTTAAAGCGGTACCGAGTATCGATCAATACTTAAAAGTAGCGACTCAGCACATCACAAATTCTGAGAGCAATTGACAGTGGACCAAAGAATTCACCAAAAAATGAATATTGAATACACCACACAGTAGCTTTGTTTCGTTACAGATAGGCGCATTTACACAAGGTAGTGTTAGCCGAATATAAGTAAAAAATTACAAAAGCAAATTACAAGAAACACATAATTTTCACGTTATGCGGTGAAAAATTCAGCTGTTGCTCCAACATTAGAGAGATTAGGCACAGCTACTTTGATTTGCTTGTTTTACATATTTTTGTATTTTTTGATAAAAATGGGCGATTTATTAAATTTGATAAAAGTGTGGCAAAACCTGAGTATTTGTGAACAATTTTTAAACATAAAATGCGATTAAAAATTCGCAGCAAATACATATGTTCAGTTGTCAAAAGCATCGGTCAGGTGTTTACTAGCTAGTTTCTGCTAGTTTGCGTTTCTTGACTTTTTCTATATTTCACTCGCTGTGAGCGTAATTCTGTAATTCTTCCCATTCTTCTTCCTGATAAAGATCTGCTAGGAAAGTAAAGAAACAAAGCTAGTGTGTGTGCACATAAAGGCCAAAACACAATAGCGCAGTGGCAGGGGCAGTGACAGTTTTTAAAATCAGCTGTTACTGCTAATATTGGCAGTCAATGCCGCAGCAAACACAATACGGCGTTGTCAGTGACTGCTTTTTTTGACATTCCCTTTTGTTTGTTTACATTTTTGTTGTTGCCTTTTAGGCTTCAGTGACATCAACAGATGTTGGCTGCGTTTCATTTATGTCAAATTCAGCATGCGAAGTTTGCTGCGATGAAGGCAGTGGCAGTGAATTTAGAATTTGGGCTAAACTGAGCAGTACTGCTAGCTGCCACTGCTGTATTGTGAGTCGCTTCATTGGACACCACACTTTCTAAAAAACAGCTGATTTCGAAAAACTGCCGCTGCCACTGCCACTGCGTTATTGTATTTTGGGCTTAATACTGTGGCGAATACTGCGGCAACACAAAGTGAACAATGAGAAATAGGCAGAATGTTCGAGGAATGACGTAGAATGTTCCACAAAGAGGAGCGTCAAGTTGGATGAACACTGCGAACAGCGAGAGAAAGAGAATGAGCGATAAACTTCAGAATGTTCTAGAGTTGCCATAAGTGCCAGCGCAGGTATATAAGGGCGCCGCCACAGCGGAGTTGAGTTAGTTACGAGTTACAAGTCAGCAAGCTACAAGTAAAGTAAGCGGAGAATTGAGTTGCGAATAAGCAAGCTATAAGTTTAATTGTGTTAACAAGTAGTAAAGCGTTGTTATTGCGTTAACAAGTATTGTAAAGTGTTTTTACTGTATTAGCAAGTATTGTAAATTGTTTGTTGTACAATAAAGTTAATTGTACTACAATTTGGTCATCGTTAGCATTTATTTAACAATCCAGCGATACGAGCCCGAGTATATTTGGGAAATCCCTCAACCCTGCCAGCCACGGCACACCACTTTCCACTAAAATTCAAACGATTTACAAACACATTCACAACTTTTTAGTCATCTCACCCACACACTTACAAATTTTTTCGTCGAACTGTCAAAAAATGTGCCTTTGTTAGAGCTGCATACCCGATAAGAATTCGTACTCTAACAAGAATTCTATGCGTTAGAGCGAGCATGTTAGAAACATCAGAGTTTTGATGACTATACATACTGTGAAGAAATGTCACTACGAAAACTTTGAAGGTAAGAATACGTATTTAACATTTTTATTTAATTATAATGTAATTTCTTCTTTTAGATTGCAAAACAGCAGCGACTAAGTCACATTCTTAAAGTATGTATTGAGACTTTTTATATATTATAAATTTTAATTGATATTTTTGCTTGTTTACAGATTCACTATCAGCACCTTCAACGCTTGCATCTTCATCGCCAGGAGCACCATTAGAACCTTCTGCCCTCAGCTTCTTCATCGCCAGGAGCACCACCAGTACCCTCTACCCTCAGCTTCTTCATCGCCAGGAGCACCATGAGTACCTTCCGCCCTCAGCACTTTCAACGCCAGGAGCACCTTCAAAGTGTAGGTCCAACTTGTCAAATTTTGCAAAGTTGTACCACCATAAATTATTTGCAACTGTTAATATATATCAAAAGAAAGGTAAACCGATTACCTTTCTTTTGATTATAACACAGTTAAAATTGCGGCTGCAATTTAGTTTGGCATCCCCGGAGTTCGGCATTAAGAAGGGTATGGAACGATAGAGGGAGTTCTCCTGATTGTAAATATATATACTTTTAGCCGCAGCAGACTTATAGTTTTTAAGTTATTTGTTGTTAAAGTTAGTAAATTGAACTAACCTCTCGACGCTATTTCACACAATAAACACTTTATTTATGTACACACTTCGGCAAAATAGTTGCATTAAAAGCCCGCACAATGAAATGTAAACATATTTTTTAAATTTATAATGTATTTTTACTAAATTAAGTAAGTTTTAACAATTATCACGCACTTATATATGTATACGCACATTGTGAATACAGAACTGTTGATTCAACCATGGTTTCACACTGACATTAGAAGGGTGCTGCCACATCTAACAAAATAACACCACACATCTAATAAATAAATATG